AGGGCCACTGTACTCCAGTCTGGGCGACAGAGTGAGACTCCAACTCAAAAAACAAACAAACAAAAAAACTGGAGCAGCCTGCATGCTTGTGATCCAGAAGGGGGAACTGAAGTCCAGCCCTATGCCACATTCAGGTTGGATGTCAGGGAACCCAGTGGGTAGGGAGCCGGGGAGTAAGACCACTGGGGAGTGAGCACAAACCTGAGGGGCTTTAGTGTCCTGCAGGAAAGGCCCAGGTTCTCAATCAAAAGTGTCGAGTTTGGAGTGAGCTAAGTTCCAATGACTCTTTGAGCTTGCAGCATCCTCTTAAGGGATCTTCACTACTAGCAGAGTGCTGAAGGCACACAGTGGGTGGTCTGGCTGAGGGGAAGGGCCTAAACCCAGAGCCTGAGAGCAGCAGCGATTGAGTCAGGGAGGGGGATGACCTGGCTTGGGAATGCAGAAAGCGGGCACCGAGGAGGGTTATCAACCTCAAATGTCAGGCAGAGGTGGAGAAGGATGCAGTACCTAAGAAGCCGCCTGCAACTTTTCTAGAACAGCAGTGTTAATGTCTGTTGCCAAGCTGTAGAGGCTGAAATAGACAGAGACCAGAAAGAGCAGAGTTGTCCTCTCAGTGGAGGAGGAAGATTTCATGCCTGATGATGAACAGAGGAGAGGGCCAGGCAGGGAGGCAAGGTGCAGGGCTTGTGATGGAGGGCAGGTCGCTGCAGGGATGGGTGAACTCTGAGCACACCTTGCATAAGAGGAAATGCAGCCTTCTCCAGGACAGGAAGCACATTGTAGGGAGGGAAGTGATTTTAACAACCATCTGCGTAACCACCGGCATTTCATCACCCGCCCATACCCTTGGTAACCTTTACCAACACATTGTGTCAGCCACAGACTCCTGTGGCCATAGCCTGGGACCTTGCTGCTTCAAGAAATTCTCCCTTTGGTATCTTCGATGCAGCCCATTCTCTGCTCGTAGCTTTCCATTCTTCAGCACCTCCCTGTGCCTGTGACCACACTCAGTTGTGCGGCCTCTGTGGCCTCCTGGACTCTGAGTACTCTCCTAGACTCAGCCCCTATGATCCAAGCCTGACCATCACTTCGACTGCTTTTCTGAAAATACCTGAAACTTCTCTGCCTAGTCTTTGGTCTCACTCCACTCTGTAAATCTCCAGCCCCAGGGCTTCTGACAAACATAATTCCCAAATCCTACACTTCAGTCCTGGTTTCTTTCTTTCTGCAGCTTCTAGACTTGGGTTGTCAATTTTCTACTGGCTATCTTTAAATGGAGAGTAATGGGGGAGAAAAATAGGGTGCTAATGGTGAGGAATGGGGGTTGGGATGAGGAGGTGAGGATTAGCGACATATTAGATTCAGTAAGGAAGCACATTTGGATCCCAGAGTTCTCAGTCTTTGGAGCTACTTGGAAATTCAGTTGAGGGAATTGTGGGCCGGGGCTCCTACCATCTAGTGTATGGGATTGGGGCCTAGTTTTGCCCTTTTGTCCTGATGGCCTTGTACCCTCACCCTCCCCTCCCCTGGTGGGGCCACCATCCCAAAAGTTTGTTACTATGTATATACTTCCTCCATGACTTCACAAGACCCCTGCACATGAGTGTCTTCTCTTTGGCACAGCCTCACCCTTTCCTTCCCACTCTCCTTGGACCCAGGCCTCTTACTATTGCTCTGGTGTGACGAGGAGCCCCCAACTGCCTCACCAAGCCCGGTGCTGAACCCGCTGATGCCGAGGTTGCCTGCCTGAGTCTTGATTGCTGACTTGAGTTCTTGATTCTCTCGAATAAGCCGCACCAACTTCTTCATTTCGTCATTTTCCCGCACCAGCTTCTCTATCTGATGCCGAAGTCCCTCATAATTGGTGAGCAGAGACATGCCCCAGGGCAGTGGGAAGGGTGCGGCCCAGGTAAGGGCACTGCACCTGGAGGCTGCCCAGGGCCCAGCCCGGGCTGAAGGAGGGCCCAGAGTTTGCAAGCCTGGCCCAGTGGGCCCTGGGTATTGTGAGGTCAGAGGTTATGCCGTCCTCCTTGCCCTCTCTGCTTTACCAGGCTCAGCTCTCCATGCCTCCAGCCCTGTGCACAAACCTCGCCTCAGCCTGGATTGTCCTGATCTCTTCTCTGTCTGACCAACTTCACTGTCAAGGTGCCTCCTTTGTGAAGCCTCCTCTCTCCCATGGCAAGCTAATTGCTGCCCACCAGGCTTTCTCAGCAGATACGGCCTGTGTTATATCTGTAGTTCTGGTTCTGTACAGTTAGCTCCTTAATACTTTCCACTTACTTTACAGCAAGAACAGGGATTGTGTCATTTCCCTGGAATCCCTAGCGTCCAGCAAAGGGCTTGGCATGGTGTAGGTAAGTAATCAGTGAATATTTGTTGAATTAACTCTTACCACTCTGCTGTCCTGGCCAGGATATCCCTTCCTTGCGATCTTGGTCATGCCTGGGTTTAACCTGTAAGCCTTCTCCTGGGTATGGTCTGTGTTGGATGCCTGGACACTGAATAATAATTTCTTCTGACCCCAGGTACTCAGAGTCTCTCTCTGACTGTAGCCCAGGAGCTCCCTCATCCAAGCGCTTGACTCCTTACAACTTGGAGTTTCCATTTCTAATGACTCAGGCTTCCCTATCCCAAATCTGCCAGTGGTGCCTTTTCTCTATCTGGACCTCTGTTCTCCAACTCCTTGAATTTTCCTGACTTTAGTCCTTCAAGAACCCAAGGCTGCCTTCCTCGTCTGGTTCCAAGAACTTAAGACTCAGTCCTCGTGGTGTTTCCTTCTCTTAGTGCTATCTACAGAGAACTCCATGGATCCGGCCTTGGGAATTAAGTGAGGCCATGTCCTCATGACCTCCGCTAGCTCTTTGGGCATCATCCATCGTCAAACCTCTTCATGGGGCAGGGAGAAGGTGGTGAAGTCCTGGTTGAAGCCAAAAGGCAGACTCCTGATAGAGGGTAGAGGTGAGAAAGGGGGCCAGGACTGGGATCAATCTGAGTTGAGCATTCTACCTAGACCTCACAATGGGGGGCCTGCCTCCAGCCCTCCACTGGTAACTGCTACTGTAATTCCAGCTGAGTCATTCTGGCCCCCCGGGGATGAGATCCCTTAGGAACCAGGGCCAAGGTCTCTTCAGTCACCTCTCTAACTTTATAGAGTATCTCTGCTGGGCTGTCCTTCAACATGTAAAAATTAGTGCATCACAGTCTTGTCCCACTGATGGCCTCTCTGAATGATGTGGTCTGTGATGGTTACATTTTATATGTTAATTTTGCTAAACTGTAGTGCCCAGGCAAAAATCTAGTTTAGACATTGCTATGAAGGTATTGTGTAGACATGATTGACAAGCTACAAAATGTTGACTTTAAGTAAAGGTGATTGCCTTCAATCATGTGAATGGGCCTCATCCATGCAGTTAAAGAACTTAAGGATAGCCGGGTGCGGTGGCTTATGCCTGTAATCCTAGCACTTTGGGAGGTAGAGGTGAGAGGACTACCTGAGCCCGAGTGCAGACCAGCCTGGGCAACTTGGCGAGACTTTGTCTCTACGATAAATCAAAAAAATTAGCCGGGCGTGGTGGTGAGGAGAACACAAATTTATGTATGCTGGTGGCTCCAGGGGGCTAATGCCTAAGTCCTGGGACGCCGTCTTCTTGTGAACTTTGTCTTATATCAGGTTTACATTTCTGTGTACGTGCAGTTTACGTTTTTATGTGCGTGCAGTCTAATTTGGGTGGTAGTGGGGGCTTAAACAAGCTATTTACAGAAGCGGATATTGTGAGAAGAAAAAATGATTAGGCAGGAACCCCCTTCCTCTCGATCATTGTTATGGCCCTTTTGGCTTCCTCCAGATGGTTTGCCAGTTCATTCCCTCCTCTTCTAGTGCCTAAGAAAATCTTTGACTAGGGTTGGCCAGATTGGTTACCCTTTTTTAGGAATTCATGTTAGGTTGCCGAAAGCTGTAGCTTGACATCTTCTTAATGGGATCTTGCGAAACGGGCTATGAGGTTTAAGATACAGGAGCCAAATATGAGTGCTAAAAGAAATATGAAGAGGGAACCTGCTAGTGGAAGGAGCCAGGAAGCCCAATTCCAAATGTTGTTCCATTGGCTCCAAGAATTTGCTAACTCCTGTCTTCTGCGCATTACCTGTTCTTGTAATTGTTGGGCCATGTCTCTGACTATGCCTGACTAGTTTACATAGAAACAACATCTTCATTTAGGAAAAGGCAGAGTCCCCCTTTCTCAGTGGTGAGTAGGTCTAGTCCCCTTGGATTTTGTAGGACTACTGCTGCCAAGGAATCTAGTTGGTCCTGCATGGTCACTATGGATTTTGCTACTTGTTCTATGTCATCTGTGAAATCTGCAGTCAGTTTGACTTGATAATAGGCTGACAAGGCAATTCTCCCTATGCCAGTGCCTATTCCTGCAGTGATTCCCAGTCCTATTAACAGGGGTATGAACATGATGGCCCTTTTTGATCGTGTGTAGGTCATTAAGGGTATTGGAAGGGACTGGTTGTTGGGTAGTATGCCCATTTGTAGGGTGAGGAAGGCCAAGGTGCAGACTCCTGACCATCTGGCTGGTCAATATTGATAGGTATATGTGCCGCATACAAAGAAAGTTCTTGGTCCTTGGTTCCAGCAACAGGGTTCATCAGAAAGACAGCCTTCCTCTGCCTTGCAGTTGTGGATTTGGAGGCACTGTTGGAAGTTAACTTTCCTACAGACTGGATTCCTCCCAAATTATTGTAACAGATAGGCGCTGTCTGGGACAGTTCTATATAACCTGATATGGGAGTTGTGACCACAGAGCTGGAAGCATAGCTTGACTTGGATATATTATGGGGGTTCACAGGGGTTACCATATATCAGAGGAGATCAGAGGACAGGCAGAGACAACAATTGCATGTAAACTGGGGGTTAGTAGCATTTAAGAGCCGATGGGTTACAGTTAACAATTGGTCTAACTGGGGATTTAGGTCTAGCGCTTTTTTTTTTGGTAGTACAAGTGGTGGCCTTGTTTCGGGTTTAGGAGGTGTAGGAGCCACCTTTGTTATGAAGTCATTCGTTACCTTTTTTATTAGTTCTTTCTGGGCCTGATCTTGTATACCTCCCCCTTCAGATGAGCCCCATTAAGGCAGTTTTGTCCAGCATTCATGTCCAGGGCCTCCCACGCATATATTTCTGGCTACATTTTTCTGGGGTATCCAAGCTGTCCAATATTCTTTATCGCCCCAGGTATAACTTTTCACTGTCTGTCTGGAATAACACCTGGTGGGTTGGTATGAGTGTGCCACAAACAGAGGTGGTTTATTTACTGATTCCCCTTGCATTTGTTTTAATAAATCTGATGCAGTAAGGGTTTGTGGCTTAAGGTATTGATTGTGTGGTTCTGCCAGGACCTCAGGAAAGAAATGGACAGTAAGGGTCAGCAAACCTATAATAATAGGCTGAGTAACCATTATTGTAGGAGTTTCAGGTGCCAGGCAATTTTAGGAGAGACTTGATGAGAGTCAGACTTCCAGTTGTGAAGAGCTAGGTAAGAGCCAGTAGGATTTTATGACCTAGATGCCAGTCTTAGGGTGTGGTTGATAAGCCCTATGGCAAAAAGCATAGCAAGCATTCAAAGCAAGGAGAGGAGCCAAGGGTGACAGGGGCTCAAATATGGCAACTTGGTAGTCTTTGGGTTCATATATAGCAACTCTCCGGTCCTCAGGCTTCCACCATGCATGGAGCCACCAACCTCCGGTTATGTGTTGGCAGCAGGGCTGGAGAGATTCTTGTTTTTCACTTTCAGTTGGAGCTGGAGAGGGTCATTGGGATCAATGTGACTGGCCCACCCTTGATGGGAAGCTGTTTTTGCTCTGGAGTGGTGGATCCATGGCTTCTGACCTGCAACTTTGAGGGCTGTAGGGGTGGTTAATATAATTTGATAGGGGCCCTTCCACATGGATGTAAAGGCTCGTGTTTCTAGGTTTTGACCAAAACCCATTGTCTGGGTGAAAAGGCATGGACATGAGTACTAATGGAGACAGGGATTCTTTCTAATATGGTTGAGCTCAAGACCTTGAGGACCTTCCCTAGTTGGATAATCTGTTTCTCAAGCATGGCTTCTCCTAGCTGGTTTATATCTCCTTGAATGTCTTTGATGAGGGGAGGTGGACTGCCACATATGATTTCAAAAGGGCATGGTGGCCTGGGATGCATCTTATTCTAAGAAGAGTGAGGGGTAAAAATTGAGTCCAAGGCAGTCCTATCTCCTGACACATTTTCCCTAGAGTGGTTTTAAGGGTTCTGTTCATTCTTTCTACTTTTCCAGAGCTTTGAGGATGATATGCAGCATACAAGTTCCATTTTATTCTCAATTATGTAGACAAGTTTGGTTTTTTTTTTGAGTTGGAGTCTCACTCTGTCACCCAGACTGGAGTGCAGTGGCTGCTCCCAGTCACCTCAGCCTCGACCTGCTGGACTTTGGCAATCCTTCCGCCTCAGCCTTCCAAGTAGCTGGAACTACAGGCACGTGCTACCATGCCTAGCTAATTTTTGACTTATTGTAGAGATGAGGTCTCGCCAAGTTGCCTGGGCAGGTCTCGAACCCGCGGGCTCAGGCAATCTACTCACCTCAGCCTCCCAAAGCACTGGGATTACAGTCTGAGCCACCGAGCCCGGCCTTGTAGACAAGTTTTGTATTATCTCTTCCACAAATGCTTGCCTGTTGTCAGAACCTATGGAAAGAGGGAGTCTGCATTGGGGAACAATATCCTTGAGCAACACTTTGGTCACTTCGTGGGCCTTCTCTGTGTTGGGTTTGTGAATGCGTTGCCTTTGTGCACTTGTGTAGCTCCTCTCTGATGAGCCCAGCAGTGTACAACAGCTATCTTTTCAGGGTCCCATATAGCTTCTAACAGTTGAAATAGTTCTTCTTTATTTTTAATTTATTTTCCTCCCGCGGTAAGTAGTCCTCTTTCTT